TATTGCAAAAATTCTTACTCCGGAATCGTCTACTTCTGTATCTTTCTTCTCATACAGAGCTACTTGATGATCTGCCATTCCATATATAGGTATTGCCATTGACATTGTATCCCAGAATCGTGTATTCGTTCCCTAAATAATATTTAGTTTCTAAAAGAATAAAAAAAGAAAATTAATTTATAGTTTGTCAAGTACTTCGAGAAACAACAATAATCATCTTTCCAATTAATCATCTTTAAAGTAAGACATTTTATATTAAAATAAGATTTACCTTCCTATAATACTGCTCTCGAACTCTTGAGCGATCAAAAGCTACATTATGTCCAATAATTAAACGATGTTTTAAGTCTTTTTCATTTGTTTCAAATGCAATTAAATGATTCAAACGGTAAAGCTCAGGTATGTCTCCACCATTTACCAAACGATCACTGCACCATGAATACCTAAGAAAAAAACATTTCTAATAAAAATCTTCAACATGTTTAATATTTTTGCAAATTTTTGAAACTTTCTCCAAAAAAAAAAAATTTGTTATTTGGAATGGTTTCCAATTTTTTTTAAATCTAATTTATAAATTTCAATCATATCATAATGCTTGATTAAATCATACCATGCTTTTGGTGTTACAGCAGTAGCAAGAGTTGGTAGTAATCCATCACGAACGCATACCTCGACATCAAAAAATATCAAATCTTCAAGTGGCTTATCAACCTAAAAAAAGAAGCCGTTTTTTTCTTTCCCATATAAGCAGATAAATAGATATGATAGAAATATTTGCATTAACAAAAAGTTTCATTGGAAAAAGTAAATTTTACATTCGAAAATGAATATAATTTCATTTCATATTCCATGAACCATTAAAACTTTAAAACCTACAAGAACATAACGCTTATCTATTACTCGAATCATGCATACATAATAATCTTAGAATTGTTTACATTGCCTTTTTATTAGATATTTTCATATGAAAGAATAAGCTCTACCAATATTAAATAAAGTTATGTAAATTATGTAATTAAAGTTATTAATTAAAGTAAAGAAAGACAAAGTTTTTGTATAGCTCTGTAATAATATTTTCATAGGATAAATATAATACGAACTAAAAACTGAAAAAGTGAAAAAAAATCCAACCCTACATTTCTATTTATTGGTTATTACTACTTTTAAATAATATTAATCTTCAATTTCCTATCATACCTATTTTTTTTTTCCTTTCATTTATGAATGATAAAATGATACCTGTTTTGGTGATTTGTTTATTTCATATCTTGTCCAACCAGGATGAAAATTCCATTGCTTTGGCATAACAGGTAACCTTCTAATAGTAGTTGCTTCAATGAGAAGGCGACGATATGGTTCAAACTGCTTCATAGCAGTCTTTTGAAAATGATCTAACAAATTTGAACCTTCCAGGTGTGGTAAATCAAGCATTTCAAATGGATCACCTTTTAAGGTGTTTTCAGGAATTGGATAATTACCAAATAAATGACGATGTAATCGTTCCGGTACCAAATCAATCTTTTTCAAACTAAATGAAGCATTTTTCTTTGATGTTGACGGTTGTTCTGGTGAATTTACTTCTACTGTATACCATCGTATAGTAGTAATTGGACAAGTTTTATGAAAAAATGATAAACCACATCGAACTGACATTCCTCTAAAATAAAAAGTAAGAAAATTATGAAACAAAAAAAGAAAATTAAGAAATAAAAAAATAAAATTACCCCACTTCAGTTACATACTGAATTGAATAGATCAAATTTAAGTACTGCATTTCTAGAACTATCAACGTGGAGCAATGAGGAGTGTTATGTTTACTAGCAAACATAATTCAAATAGCAAACAGTTTAATTTTAAAATTGAAAACAACTCTGGGAAATCCAATACAAGTATACAGTTCAAAATATCAGTTATGTTTTTATCTAATACAATGAATCAAAAATAACTTACAATAATATTCAAATGACTATGTATCAAACAAGTGCCGAGGAAGTGTAAAGTGATAAAACAGACATTAAAATCAAACAATTAAAAAAAAAGCAAACATGTTTAACTTTCATATTGTTTTATAAGTCAAAATTTTTACCTGAAAAAAAATCAAACAAAGATTTAATAACTTTAATAGATATCGTTGTTTAATTTCCCTATACAAATAGAATATTGTCAAAAAACGCTCATTTTGCAATAAAATGCATCAAAACATTAGCGCGTCAATTCCAAAAGTGAATTTTCTCGTGCAATAACAAGTCTATCAAATTGAATGATATAAGTGGTACCATCATGCCAATGTGCACTAACTTTACATGGAAAATTACTTGCCTAAAAAAAGATTAAATCATATTTCGCCCTTGGAATAGAAAAAAAAATATCATAGTGTATAAAATACAAAATGGTTTTATTGAATTTTAAATTGCGAAAATTCTAACCTCCAAAACTGCTTCAATGATGCCAGCAATAAATGATGCACAATTTAAATTTCCCTTATCTTTCGGTACAGATATATATGTGTTTACAATAGGCTCTTTTTCAATCAATAAATCTAAACAATAACACTCTCAGTATACTAAAAAAAAGTCGAATTAAGATTTTCAATTAAAATTTTTACTATATTCGTTGACAATGAAAATTATCCGATTAATTGACATGCTAATAAAACTCATTCAGACAGGTTTTTCTATTGTGCAAGAAAAAAAAATTTTTTTTTCGCTTTTCAATTATTTGCCATTTTGTTATCTTTAGTAACATTGATTTCTTCTCAGTCACAATAAACTACGAAGTAACAAAAAACATATGCAAGCACTTACACTGGCATGGATCATCATTACTTCGCTCTAGCTTATCAGCTTCTTTGTTAAATAAATTCTTCCAGATAGTTCCTTTGACAAACATTAGCATATTTAATAGTTTAATCTCACGTTTGTAACCTTTCTCTCGCAACACAATAACATCTAGCAGTCGACTTCCAACAAATTTCCCATAGCCTAAAAGCCTAAAAATAATTTCACTTTATGCTTAATGAATGAATAAGATTGTTTAAAAAGGAAAAAAAAAAAAAAAAAAAACTTCAGAAATTTAAAGGATTCTTGCAAAAGTAACAAATGATTGAAGGATTTTTATTTAAACTGAAATTTTCTAGCAAACAATGACTAAAGTTTTTTTTTTCTTTTACTCCTACTTATCAACTCTAATTTATTTTTATAACTCTTTTTATGACGCATAGTATTTTTGTTTTATATCCACGTTTAATTTATTCAGATTTAAATTTTTTATTCGTTCGACCCGTATCTCTTAGCATATGTACGAATTAGAAATCAACAAATTAAATACTGCTTATATTATACTTTTTTTCAATATATTTTGCACTGTAGAAAAACTGCTAAAATCAATAAATTAATTATAAAAATTATAATTTATCAAAAATACTAACTTATCTTGCAGATCACCAACTGTATTAGATCGATTATTCGCGTATCGTATCATCTCAGCAAATAATAGGGCAAACGAGGAAAAATTTACCTTCAAATGATAGTACCGGCTTATAGAGAGAAAAAAGAATTATTGATATCAATTGCAACAGTTTAAACTGTACTTCTCAAAAATTTCTAATAAACTATGTTGTTTCTAATAAACCGTCTTATACAAATATCATATATTCCATTTTGATTTTTTTTTTATAACCCTTTTTATTTTTTTTTTAGTTTTTTTATGAATTTGCAATCCTTTTTTCTTTTTTTTTTAAATTCATAAAATAAAAAAACCTCCGTTTTGCCTCTACTCAATGATTTATCCAATATACTTCCTTGTTTTGCACTTCCGACACGTTGCATTTCGGAAAAATCTATAAAAATAAACAAAAGTTTTTTGATGATATCATTTATATTGATGATGATAGTAACTAAATGATCTGATCTTATCTGTAGATTTCAAATTCAAATTACATTTGGAGTTACAAATCACTTTAATGGTTACTTTTCATAAAAAAGTTGTGCCGCAGCTAACGATAATTCATCATTTCACCAGAATCTATGCTATTCTTCATGAATTTCAATGAAATTAAAGCAAACACAAGCAAGTATTACGTTAACATATAATTCTTTTATGATTAATGAAATGTGAATCTTACTTCCTTTGATGTTAGCAAATATTAATGTTCTAATTAGCGTGATTTTAGATGTATCCAAACTTTAGCTCCAGTTAATGCAACTGATTATCCTATAATTAACAATTGAAAATTTTTACTCAATTATTGATATGTGATTTAAGAGAAGACAAATGTATAAAATATGTCAACCATCACATACGTCATCATCGTATACATTACTTTTGAATTGTTTTAAATTACACCAGTGTATTTAAATAAAAAAATAAAACATTGTAAATTAATTTTCCAGTATTAAACTGATAAATAGCTCCAACGAAATAATTTTTTGATATTCACTGAATAACACATTATTATGTTCACCAAATTTATATGCACAAACAACATAAATGAAAAAAACAAACTTTACAACAAGAAACGAAAAAATTTCCCATACAAATTTATATACAAAGTCCAAAAGCTGGACCACCCTGAAACACTCAGATCAAATTGAAATTTGAATTTAAATATGAATTTCCAAAAAAAAAAAACTTCTGCCTCTCAGTAAAATTACAGCATTGATTGCGATTACTTCTGTATTCTGTTAATCTAATTTGATCTCAAGCTTTTATTTAGACAATCAAAACAGTAACTAACACACAAATAAAAGATTCATAATTTATACATATTTTTACAGGGAAATAAAATCTAAAGGAATCTTTATCACTTATCAAATATGCAATCAGATCACATTCGAGATAATATCTAATGAACACAAACCAGGTCTGTCCTTTCACTGTACCGAGTATTCCAAATATAGTTATGTATGACATTTTTTTTTTAAGCTTAAGAAAAATAGTAGTAACGCGAAAAAAAAATCACAAAGCATCAATTTGCTTTCAATTTCAAAGAAGATTTCTTCTTACTCCTTTGACATCATAGGTTCAAAATATGCCGAATCTAGCCACAAGGCAAATTTCTTATCAAGATCATTGTTTTGTAAGTTTTCTGACCAGCCGAACATTTCTGCCTCTGAAAATACATAATTTATCTAAAACAGTAACAGATGTAGTAAAATAATCATGCAAAGAAAAGGAGAATTTAAAAGATTCCAAACTTCCCAGACCTTAGAGACAAAATCATTAAATTACCTTTGCAAATGACAGGCTCCAAAATGAGCGATTTTGCAATATCTACTTCTTGATTCGTGCTGAAATAAACAAAACTAAAAAAAAAAAGAAATGGATAACGTAAATTATGCTTCTAAATTCTTTGCATACTACTCTGTCAGATGTTTTACTTGTAAAACCTAGAATGAGATATAGCGGTAAAATAAAAATATTAAGAAAGTTATTTCGAGTTAAAATACATTGTGACAAATAGTATATAAAAAAAAACAGAATCAAATCAAGTGACCATTAAGTTCAAAATAACTAATCATTCATATTTCACGATGTTGTTAACAATCAATGGCTGAATAGGACTAGAAGATGACTGATCTTGCAATTTATCTGTAGATGCCTCAGATTTTCTCTCATTCTATTCATTACCAAGCAAACTTTTGCTTAAGTAAGTAGATTCGTTGTCATTTGATTTAAGACACATCAAAAATTTTTGGTGCATAGTTCAATACTAACAAAATTCAAAAAATAAAATTGAAATTTTAAAACGATGTTATCTCAAATTAGTGCTGGTAAAATGATAAAAAAATTAGAAAATCGAAATTAAGGACAGACAAATTGTCACAGAGAAACAGGAAATAATTTTTTTTTTTATATTTCAAACCTTGAATGTGTGTTTTTCTGTTGAATTCCGATCTCTTTGGATGATACCAATGTAGTTTGTTGATTACATGAGTAATCTGTCTTACAGACATTTGGAATGCAGAAACCGCCAAGTGTTCGCACAGGGAGTAAATTATCGATAGAAGGCGACTTCGGTGAATAGGACAATAAATTTGAGCTAAATTCTGTTGATGGTCCATTTGATGAAACAATTCCATTTTGATTGACTTTCGATGAAACAGAACAAGTATTATAAGTTGAAATAGTGTGACCGCAAAACGATTTTTGAATGTCTTTTACATTATTAGTAGCTGCTTCTTCTATTTCTTTTAATGAGAGTGTAGAAGTTTGTTTTGCTTGATTTGACATTTTCAAAAACGAATCATTTTGATAGCCTTCAGATAATGATTGCGGGATCGAAGCATTGCGGAATAATTCTGTATCACTATCGTCATCAATTAGGTTTGAATCAGCGAAAATCCTATCTCTTTCACTATAAGCTGAAATTTTTTTGATATAATCACTAATACAACGTTACACAAAATAAGTACCATTTGTAGAAAATTGACAACTTAAAGGTTTCAAGCTTTTGGTTAAGTGAATTTTACCAAACTTTCATTTTAGTTTTTGCTAGGATATGGTGTAATTTTTCCGCAACGTTGGTACTCTAAGAAGGATGAGAAATGAGATAACGAAAACAGTTGTTTGCCGCTGATCATATTAATTCGAGAACAGTGCTTATTACACGGAAAAATAACTAAAATATAAGATTTTACAACAAAATCATTTCCCAGCTCTTCGTATGCGGCAATGAAAATTGGTTTTGTAACCAAAATTTTGAACTCCAAGGCAATCTTTCGACACTGCATTTTAAATCTTGTTTGATATGTTACAGTTCCTAAATTCATAGCCTTCATTAGCAATTTGCATTTTGCTAAAATAAAAGCACCTATTTCAGCGTTTCCATTTTTAGGTAACATCAACTGTTTTGATATATTCTCAATCGAACCATAGCTTGCTGCATGTTTGGTTGATCGTAAATGTGGTTGTTGCTGTGATATACTCTCCAAGAAATCACTGAAATAATAAAATATCGATCATTATAAAGTATTTGTTTATGAATTTCTAGAGACAAAATTTACGACATGACAAGAAGCATCTAACTGCAATTGTCGAAAATACTCACTCTTCATTTGTTGATAATAATTCTTTATTCAATATTTGTTGTTCAGTAAATTTGCATGAAGAAAAAACATGCTTCTTGCAAAGTGTAAAAAAGTTGAATCTGAAAATTAAATATAAAGTAATATATATATATATATATATATAGAGAGAGAGAGAGAGATCCTTTCCAAAGCATTAATAACGCCCATAAACTTACTGAGTCCCTCTAAGAGAAACAAAATTTTTGATCTACTAAATATGAATATTTAAGAGGAATATATATTCATATTTAAACATAAAAAGGATATTACGGTGCATAAAGGTAACAAACAATATGAAATTCAACGATACAATCATGAGCAATAATTTAAAATTAATTTAATCCCACAGAATCTATATTCAAGAGTAAACTAACATGGCTTTGTGAGCAGCAAAAAGAGAACAATTCCTAGCTTGACACTGCTCGGTATATTTCAATCCAGCATGAAAATCGCAAGTTGTGAAATCATAAAATACAGCATGGTGCCATTGTTCGTTCATTTCCATTGCGACATCAGATTTAATAGCATCATTAACACGAACATCATTTACTGTTGCATAAAGAGCCATGAAATAATCTTCCAAAGTTGCAAAATGTGTTTCAACACGAGCTGGAATTGAATTAACTATAGAAATACATGCTAAAAATTAGTGGTCAAAAAATTTCTGCTTAATCCAATTACCAATGAAGTAAAAAAATTGTAAATTTGATACTCGAATGGATAATAGATTAGTTGTGAACAAAATTGGATTCTATTTTTTTTTTTTTTGATGACAGGCATATCGTTATAGAAAGATATACAAAAAACCTACAAAATGATTTTTCATTCGCATGCACAAAAAGGGTATCAAATGATCCGACAACTGTATTCCAATCTTTGGAAAGCAACAACAGTTTCTCGCCACTACCATTTATTCTCGTAAACGCTTTTATTTCATCCCAAACTTGAATATAATCGAATCGGACATTTGTAGATATTCTATCACAATCCATTAACAATCCAGTCATTTGCTCTACAATTACAACAAAATAAACATTTCGTCTAAAATCAACATCTCTTCTTAGCGTATCAGACTTAAATGAAACAGCATACCATTTTCTTCAGCCTCTACTTTATTATTCTCGCATGATATTCCATTTCTCGCAAAACCTAAGATGTAATGACGCTTGCCATAAATTCCGCGATTAAGACTGAATTTTAATATTGAAATTTCGGATGGTATCATCCGCTTACTGGAGCTGTCTTCATAATAAATATTCGCTGTCACAATTATAATCTCCGATTTAATGAAAAAATCTTTCTTGCTTCCGCATTCTGCAACATGAAAATATTGTCATTCAAAATATACTGTGAAACTTATCAATAAATGATTGCAAAAATTTTAAAAAAAAAATAAATGAATCATTTCAGTGCTTAACGTTATTATATTGATTTACGTCTCAATCAAAGAATTATTTCATTACAACCTTTCTGTGTAAATCTCCATTGATAGTGATCGATGAATTTTTTTCGATCATTTTCACGTTTTGCTTCAAAATCATCACCAATCCCAGCAAAATACTAAAAACTAATGTCACATTTCATAAAAAAAAGGAGAAAACCGAGCTTTTAAATTTCAAAAACTGCTTGAAAGATTAAGTTAAGATATCATTTTTGAGAATTAAATAACACACACACAAAAAAAAATCCAAAACAATGAATAGTAACGATACATCAACAGATAAAACTTTCGATTTCTAAGCAGAAAGTTGACTTATTGAGAATCTCATATTTTAGTTTCATAAGCTTACTTTACGCGAATATTGATCAATTTCATCGTAACGAAATGACGACAGTTTAGTCTTTGACTTCGAATTTCCTGACGTACAAGGTTGCGAGAAATCTGCTGACTTAAAAAGAAAGTATATATAAACAAGGTAATAAGTACAGATGGTTGCTGCAAGAAACATCGAATAATTTGTAACATTTCAAAATATCCGCAGAGAGTTTAACATACGAAAAAGATAACTAATAGATTTTCATGGCATATATTACAAAGCTTGAAAAGGCAACTTTATAACTGAAGTAAACATTTCTGATCCGAACTAAAATTTTGAAAACTAAATTAATACTTAAGTCAAAGGGGAAAAAAACCCTGATACTACTATAAGGACATCAATTGACTATCTGATCCGGTGTGTTATATTACATTAACAAATCAGCAAACTTAACTATTTTAAGATGAACAGAGGAAATCAAAACAAAAAAAAATCCAAATAAACCTACTTCATGATACCTTCTTCGATGATAATCGAGCCGCTTTAACATTCTTTCATTCCTTCCCACTTCTGAATTATTATATTCCTTCGCTCTTTTCTTCCATTCTTGTCGTTCCTCATAACTTAAATCCTATAGTAATAGTACCTGTTAATATATGTAAATTAATCATCCACATCATCATACTTGTCAGTCATTTTTTCACCAGTACAATTAAAATTTAACATCACATATCAGTCTGTCTTATATTAAAACACATATTTATTTTATCTATACCGATAAATTATCTAACGCTTTCTTATCGTTAAATAATAACACGCAATTAGCATAAAAAACAATAAACTATGCCAAATAATAATGCTAAACAAAAAAATTGAAAGTATGATCATAAAATAAATGTAATATACAACAAAATTTTGTAGTGAATTTTAATATATCAAGAATTCATAAAAATGTTTTAACATGCATCAACATATTCATTAATAAAATAAACTGCAGCAATAAATTATAGCATGTGATAAAACATCTGATAATACACCGATAAATTTTCACAAATTTCAACAACAATATTACATTAAATAATAAATTTTTTAATGATAAAAATAAAAACATACAGTCCAATGAGGCATTCCAAAATGCATCAAATCTAATGGTCCTACTCGTCTACCCAATTCACGTTGCAATTTCGGCCTAATAAAATGTTCCATAAACATCCAGAAACCACTCTGTTTATCATTTGCTCCCTTTCCCATCGTATTTTTGTTGTTGTTGTTGCTTATTACCTGATAATAAATGCTCTTGAAAAATGATGAAAATAATTACATAACTTTTTTTTTTTAAATTAAACGAATATATATTTTAAAGGAAACCAAAATAAAGAATATATATCAAGATGAAAAAAACTGGCAACATATTGCAAAATTTTCAAATAAATGCAATTTGATTTTGATCAAATTTATAAAATCAAAAATGACTGGTATTTTACTTAAATAATATTCATTTAATTAAAATATATCTATCTGTAGGATTTGTACCTTCTTAATATTTGTTAAAGGTAAAAAATCGACAAGTGAAAAAAGGACTGAATTAATGCTCCGTGTATAAACAAATAAAATTTGTAAAACAAAGAGAAATCGATGAGCAAAACCAGAAAGAGACTAAGACAAAACTTAACAGAGTATGAATTGTGGCCCGGCTATTAAATTTGAGACCATCAAATGCAAAAATGCAGAATAACGCTTGGCGATAACGTCTGCTTGGTTTACGTGTACGTGAGCGTGAAGTTATGACGAAGTTATCAGTATTATCAGGTTACATATCAGATAATCTGATAATACTTCGGATAATTTAATGAGATTAGAAGATGAAATATTAGTTTACATTCGATAAATTAAGCCTTTTAGATCAGATTAGATTAGATTCATTGATGATATTAACTGTATTTAATTATTTAATATACATATTAATGGAGATTTATTTTAATTTATATAATATATATATGTATATGAGATCAAATTCTTTTGGAGAATAACAATAAGGAAAGTTTTGGAAAACTATTATAGCTTGATAATTTCCCTAATTTGTGCATAAATTATGGTAGAAAGGAATTTTTTCTTCTTATGCTTTATTTTTTTTTAAAGTATGTCGGTTTTTCACTTATAATTTCATGTCCAAAATAATAATTTGCTTGTTGATTAGGATAATTTTTCCAATTTCGTTTTTCTTTTAGATTGATGAATAATTTGAATTTTCTTCGTGAAGAACCACCATTAAATTGGCTAGATTATTTTGTTGATCGAAAGAAATTTGGAAAATTTTTAGAAGCTGAAAGATCAGGTAAGAATAACTCTGACTAATTGAGAAGGTATTTATTTATGTCGTTTTGTGAGAATTTTTTCTTTCAATGAAAAAATTAAATAAATGCAGTGTTTGTTTAATCTTGTATTTACTGAATTAAATGATTGTTGAAATCTCTCAGTATTTGGTTTAATTATTAATCATAAATGTTATTCTATCTCCAAAAAATGAAATAAAATATTTGTTTTCACTTTTATGAAAAGTAATTTCTCTTTTTTTCTCAGATTCGTACGACATGTTTACTGTCTTTAGTTTTACATAAAAAGCATTTCTTTTTTCATGCTGTCTCACATAAATTCATAATGCTACAAACCATATTTCTTTTTTTTTTTTGGAATTATCAAAGAAAACATTTGTATTTCATTTTCATGTATGAATTATTTAAGTAAAATTTTATGTGCAATAATTCAGACTGATATTTATTCATTTGCGATGAGACTATTAATTGTTCTGGATGAGATAACTTTTAGAACGGATATCATTGCCCTTTATATATGTTTGAATTGATCTGTTTTTGATTCCATTAATAATACTGAGAGGATGGTTGTCAAAATTGCAAATGAAATTTGGAATTTTTAATAATAGTTATTTTGATGAAAGGCAAATATGGGAATAAAACATTGCATAAAAAATAAAATGAAATTTTATTTGTTTATTATTATTATTTTTTTTTAAAAATTTTTTTTTAAGATTCCAAGCAGCTATCTGCATTGGCAAATCAATTCACAGATCAGGCTATGTCAATTGATAAAGAATGTGATATGTTGATACGAAAAGAATACGACGAAGGTTTTTATTCTAGATTTCACTTTTTTTTTTTTTTTTTTTAATAAATGTTGCTATAAAGGTAGATTACTTGAATTCTAAATTAATATTATAGCAAATTTCTAACATCGTTTTAGAATTATAGATATCCTGTGGATATGAAATTGATCTTATTTAAAGAATTTGGATAGACTGTATTATGAAATAGTCTTGTGATGGAATTTTGTGATGATTTTAATTCTGGTATAGATTAAGGTTAATTATTTTAATCGGATCGATTATAATTTTTTAAAATATGTTTACCATTTCAGAAGATCTAGCATATAACAGATGTAAATCATCTCAGTTATGGATTTGTGCTTTATCATGTTTTGCATCAGTCAACTGGAATCTTGACCTTATGAAACAGTGGTATATTTCATCTGGAACTATAACTGTTTCTTTCTTTTGAAATTTTATTAAAAAGTAGTAACTTTTAGTAGAGAAATATATGATCTACGCAGTGAATTGATTGAAGATGTAAAAATTCGAGTTAATTTATGACTTCGGAAATATATATGGTTAATTTCTGCGATTACTATAAATAATAAAATCGAGAAACTATTTCTTCGATTTTTTCTTGGAAAAAGAGGATTGTGTTGATAGTAGAATGAGAAGGGCACAGGTGTAGAGGAGATGTTCTGGAATTAACTGTGGTATGTAATACTTACTTCCGAGAGAATTTAAATGTAATAGTTGGTTAATTATAAGCATTTAATTTTCAGTTGTAATATTATATCCATGAAAGCTCTTATGAATCGATTGGTAGCATTTTGTTATCCGACGAAAACTATAGTATGTTTGCTGATTATTTTGAATATAATTTCTGGTTAAAAATTTTTTGGCTTATGAGATGAATTAATTCAGTGGATAATGTATGACTTCAAATATACTGCTGTTGAAAAATTGCTTTCTTTGATTTTTTTTCTTTCTTTAATGAGAAATAATTTGTCATTGATTCCTTAATTTTAAGAATTCGAATGAAGACGTATTATCGGTGTTGATAGAAATTCATACAGCATCAAAAATTGAATTTGAGAAGCCCGAACAATTTTTTGCATGTTGGTTATATGCTACATGGTTACTTAAAGTAGATGTTGATGGTCGCTTTCCTGAAACTGTTGCAAAGCCAACTGTTAGCAATCCGTAAGCTCTGCTTTGTGTTATTTTCAATTAATTTTTGAATATAAATCTTTCATACTATTCGTACAGCTAAAAATTTTCCTTATTTTTGATTTAAAGCTTAACATAACAGTCGTTTATTTCATTTTATCAGTTATTCAGCTTTATCTTGCAATTTTTTTAGCTGCATTTTTTTAGGAGTAATAATGTAGAACTCTTCCCATTTTCATTCGAGAGTGGAAAAAGTTTTCCTTTTAACAGTTGTAGCATGTTTAAGCCTACCATTTCTTTTTTCTACTTTTTACTTCAATAATAAAGATATTAGAAGTTTTGATTGGAGATATGTATCTGCAAAATGTTGATATTTACTAGATTTTAAACACTTTCAATAACTTAACAAAAATATTGAAATTAAATATGGTTTTTTCTCTTTTTTTTAAGGCTAAATCAATTTGATGCGAATCTTATGCAAGCGGAACAATTCAAAAATTGTATTACTGATGTTAGTATTTTATTTGACAGTATAGAAATAACGTATGTACTAGTTAACTGTATGATTAATAAGTATGTATTTCTTTTATATGTATATTCCGTTTTTATTATATGTATTTCGTTTGTATTTATTACTATTATTGATAATAGCTTTAATAAGATTACCTGAATTAGATAATTAATTTTTTTTACAGTTACGAAGAAGTGCTGAAGGTGCAGAAAAGCTTTTGAAAAGAATGTTAGAAAGTAGTCGCAAAGTACATATGATAGTACCTACAAAAGAATGCTTTTTGGAAGCTTTATCAAAGGTTTCAGCTTTTTTATTTTTTCTTTTTTTTTTATAAAATTGTATAATAATTCAAAATTACTTCTACTGACATAAACCGGAACAAGTATATATACTTAGTTCCAATATTGTGAAACTAAAATGATATTTAGAAAGTATGCATAGATTACTTATTATTAAGTAGTATTTGATATTGCCGATATTTATGTTTATTCTAAACCTAATAATGAAATATGTTCATATAATTTACTTTTTGTCGGTTTTATTATGAATGTTTAATGAAAGTAATATCGGAACCAAATGTTAATTGTTTACTTTTGTTTATTGTTTATTTATGAATGACTTTTACATTTCAGGAACCAAATTTATCCACTGATAATGTTTTAAATTTTGGTAACATGCGAATCGCTTCGGTTCCAGTCCTTAATTTTCAAACAAATAACAAACGATTAGATTACAATTTTTGGACAATGACGGTAATAAATATTTACCAATTTATGTATGTTTCCTTTTCTTTTTCTTTTTTTTTTAAATCAAAATAATGTAATCAAATTTGTATTACTATTTGTTTTCAGGTTTTATATTCATTAATGTGCAATCATTTCGCTGCTGGTAAAGTACAAGAAGTAAGAAATAACTTAGAAAAGGTAATCATTTCAACATGGTTTTAATTGCATTTGACGAAATTCATCTATATAAATGAACTTAAAACACGTCAAAACAGAGATAAAAATAAAATAGGAGGAATCGTATTATAATTTTATGTATAACAAATATGAATGCATGAATTAATTTGACAACTAATATAAGTATAATTTATAGATTGTAAAAAATTGGCCAAAATATAAGAAATTTTATATGGATAATGTTGTGTTTGGAATAAATGAAAATGATTTAGCCGGTTACTGTGATGCTTATGGCATCACATATTCATATTGTTTTTCTGTTCCACGTTCTCAAAATGAATTAATGTTTGGAACAGTCAATGAAAAGGTTTATATTTTCTCGTTTTAGGAAAATTTAAATTTTAAGATTGTAGTATAAAATTCAAACTAAATAATTTTGAAATTTTATTTTACCTTAGGTATTAAAATGAGCGTTCAAAATAGTTCTTTTCATTTAGACATTAGATATTTTGGATAGTTATTCATTGGTGCATCGATTGGAATGTCAAAGGATTGCTTGTACATC